GTACAGCAGCTGATTTGAATAGCTGTGATAGAGATCCTACAGCACTCAAAGACTAAAATGTTTACTTTCTGGACCTTTACTGAAAAAATGTGCGGACTCCTGCGTTACAGCAGCGATTCCCAGTCATTTTGGGGAGCTTTTCATTTATTCATTATTTCAGCAAATATTTAGTGAGCATATATTATGTGATGTCTCTCAGTACCATAGATAACTGTAGTGAACCAGACATAGAGAATCTTTGCTCTTTTGGAGTTTACACTTTATCTGGGGGAACAGACAATAAACATAAATTTATAGATAAGTAGACAGTTTGTCAGATGGTGCTGAGTGCTGTGAAGAAAAGGAGAGCCAAGTGAGGATAAGGAGGGAAGAGCTTGGGGTGGGGATACTAGTACAGAGAGAGTGGTCAGGAAGCCTTCTTTGACAAAGTAACTTTTGAGCTGAGACCTGACTGAAGCTAGGGAGGGAGGCGGGTAAAGAGGCAGGTGAAGAGTCAGTGCAAAGGCCCTGAGCCAGGAGCAGGCTTGGCAAGTGGGAGAAACCACTAGGGAACAGAGTGGCTTGAGCTGGGTCTTTGAGAACAGAGGAGTGAGTGGGCAGTAGGCGAGGTGTAACTGTGGCCTGTAACCAGATCCCATAGGACACCTGGGACAGTTAAGAATACAGATGCCAGGACCTCTCCGCAGACATTCTTATCCAGGTGGTCTGAGGCAGTTCTGAAGTGCAGGCCTGTTTGGGCCTGGTAAGCCCTGGAAAGCACTGAATTTTATTGGATGAGACTGGAGAATGCAGATCCCCACTACTCCACCCCAGTCCCCATTCTCAGTCATTATTAGGCCTGGGAGAGCCTTTTCAATGCTCAAAATCAGCCTGGATTGGGAACTGTTGTTGCAAGACCTCACAAAATGCTTGCCTCCTGGCTGGGGCTCGATAAATAAATGTTGGAATTAAAAAGAGACCTGCATTAGCAACTCCCCTCCACCCCCCGACACACACACACAACCGTCCTCTCTTACGGCTCTTTGTGGGCATGTCATTTCTCCTTCTGTGACTGGTCCACTCCTGAAGGACTGGTCTTAATTATCTGTGTCAAGTCCCCAGCACCTAGCATGTAGTCTTGCCCATGCCCGGCGCTCAACTCTTTATCAGTGAAGTAATGCCTCTTTCCAAAGTCTGTGAGGTGGACTCCTGCTGCTTCCAGTCAGCTCGGCCTCGCCTTCTTTTGGAAACCTGCTCCAGGCCCTGTTTTCTTCGGGCTCACCCTGCACATCATATTGTGTTCAGTCATAGCCCTCCTCCTGCCGTGGTCTGTCTGTGTCGCCTTCCTGACAATGAGATCGTTGGGCTCCCTCTTCTGTGCACCTGCAGGCACAGCT